ATTTGACGTTCCGCCTCCGTCAATAAGGTTGCAAATTACGCAAGCAGCAGACATTTGAAATTGGTTCCATGTGCGACATCTGCTCTAAGGCTCTCGCTTCTCTTTGTGCGCCTTGTGCATACGTAAACAAACGCGTTGCACGAATGCACCGCGCATTTATTTACGTTTCGTCTCTCGCGATGGCCATCTTGCCAGGGAAGTAATCACTCCGATGGTTAAAATGAAACGATCAAACAGTGCGGAAACCAAGTTCAAGTTCATTTTTTATTTTAACGATGAAATTGTCGTTCGTTTTTTCGCTTAAAATTCTATCGAAACGAAAGATGGCCGTGCGGAGAAACAAAAATTGCGTGTCATCGAAGATCGCAAGGTTACGAAACGCGGAACAGGAAATCGAGTTCGACGTGAAGATTTTATCGGAACGTTTCGCGAGTCGAGCAGGAGATCAGCGAGCGGAATTTTATGCGAAAATTTACGTATTTGCTAAAAATATGTTGCCGGACTTGCTCCTACGAGTCCGAAGCCGAAGATTGTCGACGTCAAGAAACGACGGAATAGCGAAATAATAATGACACGCGCGATATTGAAAAACAACATGAATTCTCTATCGATCTGGAGCATTTTATCGAGACTCGCAATTACCCGAGCGCTGTACGCGATGATAATTTTAAAGAGGTAAGTCCTGGTTAGTCTAAAATAATCGAGAGATTCCTCGCTATCTCGCCAAGTGAAAGACGAAGTAAAAGTTAGATAAGAAAAGAGCAAATAGCGATATAAATTGCTATTTTAAGACACTCGACCGGTTCTCACGTGTTACGAGGAGAGGTATCGATGAATTCCATCTCCGTCTTCTTCTTTCAACGGTCTAGAGTTTAATTGCGAGCTCCGATAGGTGCAAATTTCCAACTCGTATCGATTCGTATCGATCGAAAACGGTGTTCGCTCGTTAGGTGACCTATTTGAAGAACGTCGAGAGCCCGATAACAAAATTGCCGTAATTTTTTAATAACTTTCCTCGCGGGATAATGGAATAAAGATTGGAGTTAAGATAAGGGGACGTCCGAGAGATTCTTTTTCGAGAGCGTTTCAATCGAGAACGTTCCTTTGCGAATCTGGAATCTGCATAAAACTGAAGGACGGATTTCGATATCGAGGATCGCGTATTTTCTCGAACGATAATGCCAGGGTATGCCTCGAAATTCGAGAAAAACCGTCGAATATTAACGACTCGCGATCGGACAGTTTCTGGCAAGAGAGACAATGGCTAAAAGAAAAAAGATATCGCCGAGAGAGGAAAAACCCTCGTGGCCGGATTACTAACGTGAAACGAGTTCCCAATTTTTCAGAGAGGAAGTGAAAGGTTGTGGATGCGTTCCGGGATCGACCCAATTTTCTCGGTAAATTTTCGTCGTCAGCGGAAAAAAGCGGAGCTGGTCACCGAGGCGGAGATATCTTTTTGCGAGGATAACAATACCTTCGTCCGCCACGGGTACCCCGAAATTCTTTCAATCGCCTAACAAGGTTCTCGGTTCTCGTTTTCCGTACAAACAAACGGACAAAAAAAAAAGAAAGAAAGAAAAACTCCACTGTCTCGGAATGAAAATTTCACGTAACGCGCAACATATTTCCCGCGGAAATATTTTACGAAACGAATCGAACCGTAACGTTCGCATAAAATAATTTAACCAAACCTAACGAAAGATCCGTCGACATGATTTATTCGCGACGTTCGTATAGAGGCAGTAAATATGCTACCTCGTTGGTAATCTAGATACGGCGTCTTCGCGGTTACTTTATTAAATGCAAATTTAACGGAATAACTCGGAGAATTACGGTGTCGCGCGTTCACTAAAATTATTACGTTACAAGTTCCGCGTAGAAGATGCGAGCTATGACAGCATCTAGGACAGCGATAAAATCATTGTTTAGTTTGGAATAAAACGGTTGAGTAATCGTGCCGCGAAGGTTACTTTTGTTATGGTAATTAAACGATCCAAAACATTGGTATCAGGTGATGTCGGTAACCATCGAACGATGTAGATGTTGACAGCCGTTCTAGGAAGCTACAATCGGCAATTGAAAGGCTAATCGTTGGATTAAATGACTAACGACCGACAGGCAAATATTTCTATCGTCGCACTCGTGTCGTATTATACGCATGACTAACGAAGAATACAAAACCAGGATAAAAAAATGTTAGCAAATGTCCAACACTCTCGTAATAATATTCATTACACAAGATAGATATATACGTCGAGATAATTAATTTCTTGAAACGAATGTTGCAAAATTAAACGTCTACTTGCCACAATATGTGCATCCGTTTATCGGTAACGTATATTTAGACCATGACGAATATACATATGTATACGTAATTCAAAAGTACGCATATATCGACGAGATGTACAGGGTGTCCCAAAAGTCGGGGAGGAGCCGGAAATGGGGGGTAGCTGAGACGATTCTGAACAACAATTTCCTTTGCGAAAATGTCGGATGGGGCTTCGTTAAGGAGATATTAAGCGAAAACCCCGACCAATCAGTGCGCGCGTAGACCGTTGGAGCGGCCGCGGTAGCGAAGGCCTCTGCGCTAGGTCGATGCTTCGATGCACGTCGAGTCACTTGTTCGCGTGCAAGCGTGGCCGCCAGCGCGTAAGCCTTCGCTACCGCGGCCGCTCCAACGGTCTACGCGCGCTCTGATTGGTCGGAGTTTTCTCTTAATATCTCCTTAACGAAGCCCCATCCGACATTTTCGCAAAGGAAATTGTTGTTCAGAATCGTCTCAGCTACCCCCCATTTCCGGCTCCTCCCCGACTTTTGGGACACCCTGTATATTCGCCCTAGGCAACGTTTGTTCGCATCGGGGTATACCGAAAAAGGCGCGTTGAAACGAAATGGTAAATAAAAGGCGGATTGGGTTTCAGAAAAGCCGTGTGTACTAAAATCGAAAACAAAGTTGTCGTCCTGACCTTCCCCAACGGCCCGTTTCGAGCACCTTTATCGTCATGGTCGATGATTCGTCAGAGCCGAACAACTTTTGATGTACTAATTTTTCAACAAAAGGCGCGATTCGAATCGTGGAATAAATTAGATTTCGCATCTCGAAAGCTTTTTCGTTACCTGCTCGATAGAATAAACGTCGAGAATAAATCACCTCGCTTTGTCTCGTATTTTCGTGTTTCACTTTTGCGATGTTTTCGTTCGTCATCTGTTATTCGAGCAACGCGTACATCTCCGCGATTCAGACGAATGGTAAAACGAAAACCGAATCGAGAGTATTCAAACAACGAGAGAAATCGTCCCATCGAGCGATGAATCCGCGGACAAATTTCCTGCTGTTTGAGGAATCGCGATGCATCGAAGATCGAAAACGCGCCGTAAATCAGCGGCGAAGCGTTCGCTTCCGGTAACTCGCGGTGCTCGCGTTGGACAAAGATCCGTGATAACGCAAAGAAAGTACTCTCACTTTTCAAACCGTACGGAAAGAGAAAATATTCGAAATCATCTTCCACGTGGTACACATAAAAGTTTCGCTTAACCGACGACGACGTGACATCATCGGGTAGCAACATAACCGTTCGAGAGGTCTGGTAACGTCCGGCGTTTTTTTTTTCACGAGATACATTTCACTCGACGTAACGTAAACAACGCGAAATTATTCGGTTGGTAAAAACGTTCTGCGCGTTGCTAGCCTCGTTGTTATCGCTAATGACAATACAACTGTCCAAGAAACGGAAATAGACGAAAGCGCACAACGGATACGTAACTTTTCATTGGTTATTCGAGCATGGAAATTTTTAGTTAAATAAAAAAAAAAAAAAGAAAAAAGCAAAAAAATTCACTCGATTCTGTTATTCCCTCGAACAAACATTGCTATTATTCAAATAAAGTTACATACGTTTCTGCTTCTATCTATGCCGAGACCTGACACGATTACTCGTCTGGATTACGACACATGTCTCGACTCGTCTAAATATTTGCTCAATGCACCCTGTTTCACAATTTCTTTCTCGAAATCAAATCCTCTACCGTAATCACGAACCGACAGACGGGTGACATAACGCGGCGAACAATAATAAAAGCTATGTTCGCTTTCTTGTCGATAAAATATGAGAAAACATGGCTCTCTACTTTACAAGCGGGCTTATGGTTGGCAATGCTGGCCTGTCGAACAAGTTTTATTCTATTTGGCTACCATCAACAACCGCGCGAATAGACGAGCCGAATCGCAAATGAGAATGGCGTTGCAACAGAGACAAATTGTTTCCATTTCAAATTTATTCGCGTCGTACGTCGATTCGACGTAAACAAAGCCATTGTCTCGCGAGCGTAGAAGGATAACCATATGAAAACAGGCTCCGCTCGTAATGATCGATATCAAATACTCAAGAGTCAAGAGCGTAACATTCGAAAGACTGATATACTAAGATGGCTGATACGAATTTCGAGAATATCTTACCAACTTGTATCGGAATGTAGTCGAATATACAAGTGACTCCCAGAAATATTCTGACACTAGTGTATTAATTAATGTATATATCTTTGATAATGTTAATAAATGATTTATTATTGGAAAAAGTAACGAAGACGATTGCTTTTTTAATAACGACGATATTAAGCTATAAAGCTAACCATACACTGAAGTCCGAATATTTCTGGGAGTCACTGTAGACCACGCGAGTATCTTTTATTCGTTATACCGTATATATTCGACTACCCTGCGCACAATATTTTAGGTAACGTGTCACTTCGATACACCCATATCCCTGTTAACGTATCGCGCCTACCTTTTCGACGAACATAATAAATGCTTCATGGGCCCGGTTTGCGTAAAATCCTGTTAGTCGAAAACAAAACCACGCCACTTTGATATTTCGAGTAGTGATTTTAATGCGAAATTCGCGTTTCGATAACGGTTTCGCCGAGATCTTATCGACTCGTTGAATTTCCCAAGAGACACTAAGCACGCGGGATACATAGTACACGATGCAAACGATAAATACCTGCCAACAGAGTCGGGTACGAATATATTCCACCAGGAGGGTCGCTTCTGTCTGGCTTGCGTGTAGAGTCCGTCAGCGCTACCAACTTGAGTCGGGACGCCGGCGATTCCTTTCCTCCTCTTGCGATCGAGTTTCGGTGGTTTCGCCAGAGGATGCCAGGATTTTCTGCGACCCTTCTTCGCTTCGAGATCCGCCATCGTACGCTCGTTGTCGAGCACATCTGGATTCTCCTCGAGCAGATCCTGCGACACGTAGAAAACCGAGCCTCTCCTGCCGCTATCGCTGCTCCGTCTTTTCTCCTTTTGCACCAATTTCGTGTTTTCCTTCTCTTCGACGACGCTACCCCGTCGTGCCCTCTGGAAGAGACTGTCCTTTCGCGCCTTCAAATCCTCGAGCACGCTGTGCCTTCTTCCCTTGTTGTCTCGTAAGATAGCGCTCGCGTCCTTTCTACCGACAGCGCCGATCAACTTTGCTAACGACGAATCTTCCTCCATCATCGACGGAATGGAGTTCGTGGACGCGTACTTGGTCGCCGAATGACCATTATTATGAGATTCGTTGCTGATGTACATCTTGCTTTCCATGCTACGCGACCAGACGAGTCGGGATCTCTATCGCCGTATAGCCACGGTCGCTAGCGATGGGAATGATACTTAGATTCGTATGCTCGTTGGAAAATTCGATGCAGCTTACCCGTAGTGCTCGATTAACGCGTTGACTGCCAAACGAATATTCTTGAAAATTTCTGCCATGATTAAATATTATTTAGACTATCGGAGTCTAGGTAATGAAATATTTATCGTGGTATTTAGTTTTGTAACCACATCGAAACTCGCGAATGTAGGAGTCTAAACGAAAAATAAGGCACGGTGATTCGAAGCCACGATCCTCGGATCCACCTACGCTTTACCTACGCGATCAATCCCGTACCCTACTGTTTCGTGTTCTTATTTGACTCTTTATTGTTGGGTGTGGGAGGCGCGGATACTACATGAATTTCATTTAGATTCATCTCCTGTGACGTCTAACTTTCAGAATTAATCTTTCTGGTTCTTGAGTGAAAAACACTTCTTGAGTGAAAATGGTATATTAGTGACATGGCGATCAACGTGTTAAACGAACAAATGTTAACCGAATAAATAAGAAGAAAGGAGGTGATGTCTCGTTTAATCGAGCACCGTCGTACCAAATAACTGTGGTTTCCGTACCTTCGATGCTTCCTATCGATCGCTATGGTATCGAATTGCTCGACTATCATCGATACCGGATCGTATCAGTCCCATCACTGGCAACGGCACACACACTCGCGAGCACTGAACAATATACCACCACTTGGACGAATAACTCGCGATCACTCGAGACCAGCGATCATTTTCCCGGTGGGGTGTCCGTTCGAAGGGAAATACGGAAGGTACAGAGTCGCGTACCGTTAAGGAGCGATCGACATTATTCCATTGCCGGTGAAAGCAGCCACGACGGCGTACCGAGTGACCGCCTTTTCACTCCTCGTGAAACGTGCTCGCTACGAGCGCACGAACACGAGCTTATACCCAACGGACCTGTGTTGTATCGCCTCGACCGGACTTGTCCGGAGGGAGGTAGGTACCGAGGAACGAACGGCTGCTCGATCCACGAACAGATCGTTGACCCGGGAGAATTGCCGCGAAACCGGCCAACCGAGCCTTCTCGTGCTTTTTGCCCCGATCGTTTGTGTTCCTTTATTTTCCGATAGGTCGAGCCCTTGCTGGAAAACTCGTTCTCGATCAACCTACGCGTCGATCGTTTCGATCTCTGTCGATAGACGCCCGACGGGAACGATTATTCGTTTATCTCCTCGGATGCAGACGTTGGATAGACTTCGGTCTCGACCAGGAACTGCGCGATTTCGATGCTACGTCGCGAATCCGACACTTTGTTTACCGGACCGCGAAAATTTTCGAGCCCTAGGCCGAGTAAACTCGTTTCACAGACGCGCTTAAACGTAAACCGTTTCGACGCTTTTGCTTTGTCCTCGAGCCACGAGAGGTCCCGTGTCTCGTGTCGCGTTACGGGACTCGATGCGAATTGTATCGTTCGTAACCAACCGTACGGACGGTTTCACTCTGTACCGCGCGAGAAAATCAAAGGTTCGTTTACGAAACGATCACCGAAACGCGCAATTCGTCGCTCTCGCGGGAAACTTGGACGATGAAACTCCCGGATTTTCACGATGAAACTTCTCGATAGGCTTCCACTGATTCCAGAGAGGGGAAAACGGTTTGAGGTTAACGACTCGACTTTCCTGATAGCGGCGACCAGCACCGCGTAAACGTTCCTCTTCTAACACTGCACGATTATCGAGGATGAACTGGCCTGGCCCGTCGAGGCCGGCGACGTCGAGCCCTCGCTATTTACCATCGCAGTGTTTTTCGACGATTCACGGGAATTTGTCGATACCGCGATCGACGAACGACGAACAGAGCGCGCGACGACACGCAGTCTTTCGGTACTTTCGTGCGGGACTGAGGCGACGCGCGGACTCGTCGCAAGAAGAGGCCCGAAACCGCTTCTCTCTGGGCCACTTTCTCTCACTTTTTTTTTTTTTTTTTTTTTCGTGTTTCTCGTGACGGTCGGATCGAGCGTGCGCACGGACGCGATACACCGGGCTGGCCAGTAGCGATAAATCGAGATCGAGGCGCACTTGCAATCGACAGGCCGTCACCGAGAATCGAGTATCGCAGCGACTAAGCGAGAACCAAGCCGACTGCTTGTATTTATACACGTCGAGGCACACGGCCGAGACTGTCTCCTCGGGCGCATCCCCCACCTCCGGACCGAGCACTCGACAAGAAGAAACACGCACGATTTCGCGGTCTTTTCGTCATTCTCCCTTGCAACCTAGGGGATGATGATTTCTAATAGGGTTTTTACTTTTCTAACCTATCCGGGAAGTATCGCAAGCGAAAGTAATATCGATGATCTTTGTCGTAGAAATACATATTTTACGATTTCCCGATCGTGTTACTATTGTTGTAGTTTTTTTGTCGGAACAACCAGAAAGTCGAATATGAACAAGTATCGTTCGAAGGAAACTGACAGCAAGACCATCAAATGATTAATGCACGAAGAACGAATATGAACGACATGTGTACATAAAATTTTGCTGATAAACTAAACCTAGCTAGAAACTTATCTATGCGACGTAATGCGCCAGAAGTTGTGATGTATTCGTTTATTTATTTTCATAATAAGAACGATATATATTCGGTTCAATGTATCTAACGTTGTTATAAAGTAAAAGTATCGTTTCATTTTAAACCGGTAAATTGTTTTCTATTACACGCGACTATTATTTCTCGGAGAATAATATCAACGATCGTTCCACCGATTCGTCGTGTTTATGGAAGATCATGTACACGCATACTGCTACCAGCTGACGGTAGCAGCTGAATGATAACGGTAACAAACATTGCTTCTGTTTACAGGTAATAAGAAACAATTACGAGCATAACGAGTGCCTTCTCGGGAAGGAATATTTGTCATCGCTTTCGAAGGGATCAGCGGAAGAAAATGTTCCCACGAAATTGAAATCTTGCTTTTCGTCCTAATCGTGAAAGAAAGTTGAAAAAAGAAAAAAAAAAAACGTTCATTTATCATCTCCTTTTTGTCGTCGTTTCTCGATTTATTTCACGCGTAATGAGATATACTGGCGCGGCGTAACGTAAGTGCTAAAACGCCTGAAAAAAGTGTCACCAAAGTTATTTCTTTTTTTTTCAAACGCAAAGATGACGTCAAGTTTATTTTTTTTCGTCGAAAATGATTCAATTTAAGCAACCTTCTCCTACGAAGTATGATTCGCGGAAAAAAGTTTCTGTCAACCTACACCGATATCTCTTAGCGATGATAAAAGATTCTAATTGATAATAACGATATAGACCGCGAGCACCTCAAGATCAGCACTTCCAAACACGGGACTGCATTAGAGCAAACAGCTGATATCCGACGCGAAAACATTGGAAGTTATCGCGACAAAACACCTTTCGAACTATCGTACCGATCGTAAGTCATTTCACAATCTCCGTTCGGTTAATACCGGTCTAACGATCGTTGTTTAACGTCAGCTAGACGGACCGCGGAACATCGTTTACTCGTTGCCTAACATCTTCCTACGCGAACGTTCATTTCCGTTTCAATTTCGAAAAGCAAACGGCATCGCAAAAGCTTCCCGTTAAACATGGATTTATAACGGTTCGATTACTCGGACGCTTCGAACTGATCGCAATCTTTGCATTATCTTAGCTACGGATCGCTTACGAAACATCGTTTACCTTGGCGTGCGCAGTTATGGTTTTGATACCAGTCAGCAGAAAAACAGACAGAAATTTCTCAATGAAAGTATGTCGGTGACAGCTTAATTTATTACGAGCGAATATATGAGAAATCACCTTTCCTTATCGGAATGCGCTTTACGTTCAACGTTAAGGATGTTTCGAGATCGGCCAAGGTAAAATTACGCACAGAAAATTGTGTATTCAAAATTAGAGTCGCTGTAGTCTGTTTGAGCAGAAAAAAGGCAAATATAGGTTTTACCGTCCCGTCCGTTCGTCCTCTCTTTTTCGCGCGTCCCGTGGCCGTTTCTTTAACGAAGGTTCGGGGTTAAACGCAGGCGGACGTGCAAACCGACGGTAACAATTGGTCAATTCGTCCGCGCCCAATTAGAGAATTGCAGCGATGAAAATACCGGCTCGTTCTTAATTCGATTCAGCCCATTAACTCTTGCTCTCTCTCTCTCTCTCTCTCTCTAGGCAGTGTTCGCACGAGTCTCATCTAGACCAGAGATTCTCAACGGGGGTCGTACGGACCCCCAGCGGGTCGCAAAGTTCTCGAGGGCTACAAGTGGAAGGTATAAAAAAGAAAATGAAAAACTGCTGTGGAAACGAAACTCCGAATGGAGCCAAGGACGAAAAAGTTTGACCAACACCGAACTAGATGAATTTCCGCGGTGCGAGAGGTTCGCGACAAGAACACGCATGATCGCCGACTCGACGAGACGGAAAACGTTCCCAAACGCATAACGACACGCGGGCCATTTCATCGCGCGGCATCGAAGCGTTCGTACGAATTACCAGCGACCCAATTCCCTTCGGGGAACTGCCTGTTGGCGGAGCTCGAAGCGAGGAGTAGTCGGATCATCCTGTTGTTCCCCGTGAAATTGGGTCAAAGTCATATCGCGGCGAAAAAGTCTGTCGACGACGCCGACGCGGCCGTGAATCGAACGATGCCTAACGTCGTCGACGCGGTTGCATAATCGAATAGAGCCGAAGCGTGGCGTCGGAACAGGATATTTTGTTTACGCCGAACGACGAGGATATGGTTTTTCCTCGGCGAAATTTTCAAGCTCCCGGTATCGCGGCAATTTGGAACGCGAGCCAGCTATCGAAAAAGTAGAGTCTCGCTCGTCGAAAGAAAGTCGCGGTGTTCGCCGCACGATGCATTCGCTCGGAATTGCTTCTTTAACTATCTAATGGAATAATTTCGTTTAAGCTGAGCCTCTATCAACGCCGAGAGCTTTATCAGCTGGGTGCTTATCACCGACCTCACGTACCCCGGAGGACAGGTTTATGGCTCTGGCTACTGAAAACGCGAAACGAGTCTATCTCATTTACCATTTACCTCGAAGGCGCCACATATCGTCCCGTGTCTACGTATGCGCGTGGCTTCTTTTCTACTTTTCGTGGAAGTTCTTTTCGGTAAACCGTCGTCGAACACGCGCGTCGTTCGTTACGCGTCGTTTCGCGTTACGAGCGAGCCGAACAGCTGGGGAAGACCGAGTCGTGCAAACACCGGGACAATTTTTCCCGACGCTTTGCTGCTGATTCCCAACGTGGACCGCGATGCTGGGAAACGGCATTCGAGACACGTATACCAGAAGCAAACAGCGCTGATTCGTCGTCGGTGCGAAATTGTTTTACGTCGACTGGCGCGGTGCATCTGCTGTGGGAATGATTTCCAGTTCAGACGTACCGCATCTACGGAATATTTCGTAACACATAAACAGAAATATAGTTGAACGTTGCCGAGGCTGGCGTTCCGTTGTCTTTATCTCTATTCCGTCGTCTTCGGTTTTCCTGGATTTTCGAATCTAGAGAGAGCTAGCATTTTCCGCCAAAGTACCGTAAAACGTTGAACGTTTACGAACATTACCGTATCGGATTTTAATACGCTTTGAATGGGCCACAGCGTTCGCGAATCGCGCGCCCGCAGAGCTGCAATTACGACTCATTACTTCGAGTGCTTGCAGCGGGAACGACACGGTATCGGAGCATTATCGTCGGCAAATTGGCCACAAGAACGGCGCGGCTCGTGCAAGCTGCAAATGTCCCGTGTCTAGGAGCTCGACAAAGCGCGACGGACCGAGGAAATTGTCTCTCGCGAGATATCTGGTCCGAGATACGCATCAAAATTTAATGGACGCCAGCCATTAACCCTTTCGTTGTGTCCTTCCGTGTCACATCCTCGTGGGTCGCGCGTGACGCAAGAGGAAATTACACGGAATTTGTTTATTTAAATCCAGGCGATAAGAAGTTTCGCGAAAGCGACAAGGATTTATTACCGAATACGTGTTAATCGGTTTCGCGTTCAGGGAAGTCTATCGTTCGCGGTATTTCCGCGCAAAGAATCGATACTTCAAATCAGGGCTTCTTAAACTTTTTTCTTTCGCGACCTCTTTTATGATTGTGAATTTTTCTTCGCAAACCAAAAAAAAATATTAAGTATGATATGTAAATATTTTGTGATGATTTACCGATTAGAATATCAAATATTTCGCATTAAAATCTCGCGACCCCATTTCGGGTCGCGACCCATGATCGCAGGCGACACGTCAAGTTTGTTGATCGGTAGTTCGCTAAAACGAGCATCGTGTATTAGGCTTCTCGGAATGAGTGCTGCGTCTTCGGCGCGAATATCCGCTGATAAGCCTCGAGAAGATGTTTCGAAGTAACGAACGGGAGAAAGATAAGCGAGCTTTTGACACAATTTGAAGACCGCGGAGTCGTTGCGTACGTTATACGTGACCAGGACCGGCGTGACCTTTCGCGAGGCTTAAATTCACATACGAATCCTACGCTTCAATTTTACAACGAGAAATTATCTATTTACGAATGCCGTTACATATTATATATTTTTTATAAGATTAATATTAAATAATAATACTTTGATGATTTTTGTCGATCCTTTAAACTGAGTCATCGGTACTAAAAAAAATGTCCTGCGTCCGTTAATGACATCGTTCGTTAAAAAATTAATCGAAATCGGTGCCTTTTAATTGGGTAATTCTCGTAGACCGCGGGGCCTCTTAAAATGCGCCGGCCCTGTACTTACGTGACCATCGTCACATCCTCCTCCGGTGAACCCGGGCAGAATCCTAACGCCATGATTACGCTGAATAGCCGTTCGTTATTTTCAGATCCCACGATTCCTCCAAGCGTGGAATGGGCATAAAAGCTCATCCACGCCAGAGGCGATGGAGCGGAGATGAATCAGCATCGTTAAACAACGTGTCTACGCGTGGGGTATTACAGTCAACGATAAGTGTCCACTAGAAATTTTACTGCTCCCTGTATGGCTTCTTGCGACAGCAATTGATGTTTATGCAACGCCGCGGTAGATTTATCGAATAATCAATGAAGTAAACCCTGCGTACTATGCTCGCGTCGTCTAATTTATCCGAATAAAAAATAATTTGCGAAAACGTTACCAACGGCGATTATCGAGCGAAGCTGTACAGGAACCATGGTGTACAGGAAGGATCAATAAGGAAGTCCCGCGGGGACCACAAGTTTTTCTCGTAAAACGAAGATTTATTCCGCCTCGTGGAACAATAAACCGCCAGGCGAGCGACGTCAGCGTAGGTTACTTTGAAATTTCGCGAAGTTGTCGCGGGACCAAGGTAACACGGCGGAAAGGAGAAGAAGAATGCACCGTGGCGGTCGAACCTGATTGTTCCGTTGCGTAATTAGATGGTTGGTTGCACGACAGTG